TAGTATGGTTCCTCCTCTCGGGTACCACTCTTGAGTGGTACACCCATGATCTATGCAGATGTTTTCTGTATAGATAATGCCCTCATTGGCCCCTCCACCATCTCAATGTGAGATTCTAGCTATAAGTGTCAGTGGAGGTAAGTATGTTTTGGAAGTTAACATTTTCCTAAATTGAAAATGTATTCCCAATAATACTTACCTCCGCTAACACTCTCCCACCCTTCCATCTCACTAAGAGCCAGTGCTAGAGACTGAGATGGTATCAGTCTCGAAAAAGTGATGAAATTATGTGAATGACATGTTTATATACAGTATCAGAATAGAAGGCACATTGAAATAAGTGGAGAGTATCACATGACCAATATTTTCAAATGCAATTGAGTGGGGTATAAAAGACTGAAGTATGTGAGAAAAAGTCAGATCAATGCTTAGATGGGCAAAGTTGAAACTCTGGAGGTCGAGTAATAGCTATAAGTGTCAGCAGAGGTAACTATTTTTGAAAATACATTTTCATAAATTGAAAATGTTAACTTTTGTCACAGAGGTTCTAACATTTTATCATAAGAGTACATTGTGTATCACTCAGTTGTTAGTCAATCTTGTTTTTGGTAGGTTTATAAACAATTAGACTTCAACTGGGTTGTCATAAAATTGTGGCTATTATTTTAAAACTTTTAACTGTTTTGCTGTGAGTTTATAAGTACTAATGATAATATGTGTGCAAATAGAACTTGTATATGTATATATATCTTTATGGAATTACTTCTAGCTCTGCCACAAACCCATCATTCTGTTGCTGTTACAGACCACCAGATGGCATTGTACCAGCCAGCTGTTACCCATCAGCAACAGTACCCTGTAAGTTCTCGCTATATCTACCATACTGTTCTGTTTTAAGAATAAACTTTCTTGTATTGGATAAAACTAGCTTGATATTTCAGAAACATACACTAATCTTAAATAAAAATAAGATGTTCAATTGAATGATTATCTGAGATCAAACTAACAGGAATATTTTCATGTACTTTTTAAATAGCAAGTGTAACTTCATTAATTAAACATTACATTTGTTTTACATGATAAAGAGAATAACACAATTTAGTTTAATGTTTTGTAATCTGAAATAATAAAGAATATCAATCAAAATGGCTACCACATTTTCACATTTCACAGTTTTTATAAAGCATTTATAGTAAAACTTTGTCTGTGAATTTCTGAAGCTATTACTGAATCAATCTGAGTGCAAGGTGATTTTTATGCTTAGAATAAAGATACTTATTTTCATCTTTAAGCTTTTATATTTCATTTGCTTAACCTCTAGAACCTCCTAAATGAACAGTAAAAGTGATGCAGGATAAAAGTTTATATTTTATTTATTATTTTCTCTAACCTACCACTAACTGTTGTTAAATCATCAGTATACAGCAATAAAAACATTTGAAAATAAACAATATACATTTTCTTCTTTGAATGAATTATTTGTCATCATATCTTCAGTTTCCATATTTTTAGAATTTCATCTATTTGGTTTTTCACATTTATTTAGATTTTATAGTTTTACTGTCTGCTTGTATGACGTTCAGTTTTTTTCATGTTTGACGACACATACACGTCAAATAGTAGTTTTCAGTACACTTACATACACATGCATGCAGAGCTTTTGGCTCATGTACTCATAGTTACCTAAGCTTTATTTTTTTTCTTTAAGTCTTTCTCAACATATAAGTTAATTTACCTTTTGAATATTCATTTTAAAACATAAATAATACATAAGTTGCTAAAATAGGATGTACAAAAACAACTATAACTTAACTGGTTTTCTAAGTTATTTAAGTGAAAAAAGACATCATTACATGGTATCAGCATCAGCTTACATACCAACACATCTAATGAAATCCATACTAGTCTAACATCTGTTGGTTAAACATGTATGTCAACAAGAGCATGTGGTTTTGAAAACTGCCTTGAAAGTTAAGTATAGATTAGTGGAGCTTCTGTCATGAGATGAGAAGTTAGCACATCGAATTGTGTGTAGACTGCATCTGGAATAAGTTAGACAGAGTAATTGTTATAGTATTGAAGTTATATGAAGAAAAATAGGAGAATTCAGTAACATAGATGCATCATATGACACACAGAAATGAAGATTGAATAGTTTTTAAATATTTTCTATTTAGATCAATGAACTACACTCTTGATGGTAATTTTACTGACATACATTAATGATAAATTAATTAAGTTTTGAATATAACTGTGAAACATAATAATGAGCAGAAGAGCCAGGCCCATATTTAGAGTGTTAAAATATAAATAGAGTTATGGATTTAAATTTGGGCAAATTTGAAACGGTAATATTTCTTTACTAAAAGGTATGAATGTATTAGTACAATGATGTAAATATCAGTTGTTTTTAACTCAAAGACCATTGGGTGTCTAGTTTTATGAATAATAAACCTTGTAAAGATAGTCGGTAAAATGAAATTTCATTGGCTTTCTCATGTGAAATCTAGCCACTGACATTTTTTAAAGTATAATTGACATTTGCATTGTTTCAATGACAGTAGAAGAGCATGTGTGTTAAAGGTGGAAAATATATATAAAAGATTGTGAGGAAAATTATCAAAAGAAAGAATGAGGCTATAGTCAGGGGAATCAACAAGGATATAAAAACATCACAGGCCTGATAAGAAAATATGATTGATTTATTTTTTAATTTAAGCCATCAATTTTTCAGAAAATTTCTTGAACAAGTTTTCTAAAAAAGTGTCTAGTTACAGCTTTGAAAGATTAATATAATTTGATATAATTTTTCAGCTTATTGTGAAATTTCTAAAAAAAAGTTTTTAGACACTAATTTTAAAAAAGCATTAACAATACTTCCTTTGTTTTAAAATTTAAATTTTTGTTATTATTATTGAGAAATTTTTATTTTATATATCCAGACAGTTTCAACTTGTTTGACAATCATATTAAATATTTTTTGACACTGTTTTACTGGTTGAAACAGTCTAGATAAATATTATACAAAATACAGCTAAAACAAACAAAAGTGTATTTGGTGACCACAGGCCTTTTCATGAGAAAAACCACACATACATGTGGTAATTCACAAGCAAATTCATTTGCATGTGCAAATCACATAAGTGCTTAAAGTGATGTGTTATGCAGGGATATAGCAAGAAATATTTACTGTTTAACAGTATGAATACTTGCATTAAATTAGCTGATTTATTAATTTTATCAAAACAATGAAAAATAAAAACTATACGACACTTCTACATTAAAAAACTCATTCTAATTTTGATTTTCTTCTTTTCTTTCTTCACAGTCCTCATCACCACGTATGGTCTGCCTCCTCCTTTTACAGTTTTGCATCCAATAATTTTCCATAACCTTGCAATGTTTTCATTTAATTTAATTGCCTTTGGCTGATATCTTCTCTGTTTGCCTCTTGAATTATGACAACAAATGAAAGATCTGTTCTTCAATATATTTAGTTAGATAACACATTTCCACTTTTCTCAGGTGTATTTGAAATTGTAATTTGTTACCTTTCACATGTGTGACAAATAGCACACATTTTATTAAAGTGTAAAATAAGACAAGCCAGACAGTTCATTAATGTAGCAAGTCATACTACAGAGAATGAGGGAATTTAATGTGTAATATATACTTCAAGATAGAACGATGACATTATTGTGATATTTTTTGTTGTATATTGAAAATCTATAGTGATGAAGGGTTCAATCAGCTTCTGTATATGTCTCAGAGTGGGATGAAAGTGGAATTTATTTGATTAATTACTCTCATTAGGTTCTTTTACAAAAATCTAAATAACTTTGAAACTCTCTACTGCAGGGAGCTCTGCCATATAGTTACGGTTTTCAACAACCTGTAGCACCTCCACTAGGTGTTCTCCAGCAACAACAGTCCTTTCCCATGCAAAGTATATCCGGAGTAAATCCACCTCTTGATAATCAACTTCCTGTGTTGCTAGCAGAAACTAGGACGCAAAATACCGAACTTCGTCTGTCTCTTGGAAAGATAGCAGACAAGGTTGATCTGGTTTTAAACAAGGTACATTTATCTACTTAGTATCAGATTTTGTTCAGGTTTTAATCACTTTTGACAATCAGTTTATGGTATAACTCAAAGCTGAAGCTTAGCATAATGTGAATGAATCATGAGATCATAAACTGAGATTGAGCTCTTTAAATATCTTCAGCTTCGAATATATTTGTGAATATTGAATCATGAAATTTTATAGTCAATTGTATCCTAATGTCATATGAAATATTTCTGTAATTTTAATTGTTTTGCAGTTATAAGCAATATAAGTATATAATTTCTTAGTGTACTTCGGGTATAGAACTTTCTACTTAATTTCTTTATAAGCCATTCATTAGTTTGTAGGATTCTTCTAATAGTGAACATTTTTACAGTATTTGAATTTTCTGTATAGCTTCAAATAAATTTTATAATGTCTGTATATTTTATACCTGTTTACCAACTTCATATCTTGCCTGATGAAGTCTTTACATTATCCAGACATCATGTGTTTCTCTGATATTTGAATATGACAACTAACAGAACTTTATTGACAGGTGGAAGACATCAAATCCAATCATTCACAAGCAGTTGTAGGTGCACCTTATATGGAGACATCCATTCTTCTTCAGAACATCCAGAGGATTGTTCAGGTACTGAAGATTTTGAATGAAATTTAGTTAAAAAATAATACACAGTTTTCTCCTTTCCTATTTCAGTATGGACTTGGAGTTTTGTTTCTCCAAAATACAGAGAAATGTCTCAGCCTAGAATGTCGAAAAGAAAAATTATTTATTTAATTGACCTTTATTGATTACATGTTGCTGATGCCCCTTGATTTTTTCCCCCTCACAAATTGCATAAAACTTTTTGTTAAAAAAACAACTTCATATAGTTTGATTTGGTTTTTCTTTTATGTTATGAAATTTCAAAAAGGTTGTTATTAGACACTGTTTTGAAAAAATAATACATCTTTGTGTGTTGTTCAAAAAGCTCAACAGTATGTATCCAACTGCTTCTAGCTTGATTGGTGTTCAGTAAAACATTTACTGTAGTCGTAGGGCTATAAATCATGAACAACATCCCAGAAAATGACAAAGGTTTACTTGTGACCTAGTGTCTGACTATATATTCAAAATGGCATTAGTTCAGACTAGATAACAGTTTTTTTTTATTAATAATATTCTTGGTTGAAATTAATCCATAACTGATAAATGTACTTTATTTTTATTAAATTCTAAGTTATTTTATTGTGCATTGTTTTAATAGTGTAAGTTGAACAGTTATGTTCGATAAATAAAGATTTGAATATTTTGCCTTAGCCTACTGTACTCTAAAGCTAATAAGGCTTACCCGATGTCTCATCATAGAAAACAGTTCCACAGCTTACAAACAAATATAGTTTACTACAAACATTTTCAGGAAGGAAAAAAACATCTAAAGAAACAAATATAATTTCCTTTCTGTGGTTGTCCTAAATCTTCAAAAATTCCAACTATATTCCATCATAGTTCTTTCCATTTACTAGGTCTTGTCACTTTCTCAAAGAACCATAAGCTCTCCAATGGCTCAATGGTAAGTTTGAGGGCTTATAACACTATAAATGAGGTTTCAATACCTGCAATGGGCAGAGCACAGATAGCCTGTTATGTAGATTTGTGCTTAACAACAAACAAAAGAACAAAAACATAATTTTCTTCTCACATGGCTTTATTCACTCTACAGTAATATAAGTAATACTGTACTTAATGACATTCAAACTTTGCCTTCAACTATTTTTAAAGCTGAGTTCCATTAAATCACCTGCTGTATGGTCATAAAGTTTCTTAGCAAACATAAATCTGTAGAGAGAAAACTTATAAAAAGATATGCAAGTGCATTTTTTTGACATGTGGGATTCCTCATAGCTATACACAAATGTTTGTTCTCTTTTTCTTTTTTTTCTTTTTTATTTACAAATTACATTAAATAAATGTTACAGAATGACAACAAAATATCAATTTTAAAGTATTTCTGAAAAAAGAATTGTTGAAATATAATTATAATTACTATTTTTCTTAAATTTAGAAATTTGATATGCTGATGGGCACTTTACACCTGAAAGATGCTTCATTGGCCAAGAAAACATTAATAAAATATATCGAGATATTTATATGATAGACATTCATAAGTTCTTACTTAACTGTAATGGCTTAATTTCCATGTATATTTCAACTTTTGCTCTCCACTAAGTTTGTCTCCATATAGTGATGCATTTCAGTATGATCTTGTTAATCGTGTCTACTGCTTCAAAAGATTAAGCCTTTGATTTACTCTCTCTTTTATATGTATTTATTAGTATATTTCTCCATAACTATTAATGTAGTCAACCTTCAACAGTCATTGCAGAATTGGGACACAACCCTTCAATCTTTAGTTGTTGCTAGTTAAAGAGTTTTATGGTTTCTCTCACTGAGTACTATAGCTGTGAAAGTTTGACCCCTTGCCTGTTTGGCAAGGCTTGTAATTTATTAAAAGTTTGATTTTTTTTCAGTATTTCATTACTGATATGAATCTTCATCTTTTTGGTAAATTCTGTAGCACAACTGCTCAGGTTCGTTAGAATAGTTTATTACTATGATAGTTTCTAAACTAAACGTATCTCCAGGACATACTTTGTTAGAGGGAGGATACCAAAAAGTAAATCATATAACTTGGAACCATACTGTTTACGTACTAAGAAAGGCTTCATAAGGTGAGATGTTTTATAATCATTTAAAATATTAAGAGAAAAAATACATAATGCATTTTGTACTTTTCTGTGTAAGTGTGAATTTTATATATATATTTCCTCAAGTACATGTTAAATCATATATGATACATTATAAAGAAAGTTATCTTATTTAAACAGGAAAATTCACGACTGAAGAATGATGTTGACGAAAAAAGTACTAAAATTCAAACCCTAAATGAGAAGATTTGTGATCTCTTACAGAAAAACCAGAAGTATGTATATTTCTTCTAACTTACATCAACTATTTTGTTGAGTTTCTTATTCCTTTTTTTTTAACAAAGGCTTTTTAAAGTTACTTGCCTTTTGTAGTGAAAGAAAAGTAAGAGTATTATTGTTAGTCAAACATAAAGGGATATTGCTATGTGTTAGTTTAAAAATATGTTTTTGAGTGGGTGACTATGTAAATTTATTGCTACTGGTTTTGGTCAGATTTGTAGTACCATCAAGTATGATGGTAAGAAGGACAAAAAAACAAACTGCAGACATCTGTCCTTAGTCCTCTTCTGATGAATTCCACAGGATCATATTGCAATGCTCAGAATATCTTTATCATATGACACTGTACTTTATGTTTCTGAAGACCGTTTCACTCTGAGGGAGTTCCTGAAGAACAAATTTTCATAGCATCTTCAACAATCAACTTTCTTCATTGCATGTTATTTTTTCCCTTGTACATTGTAATAAGCTGGATCAGGTAATGAGAAGATTTGATATTGTGAACGGTTCTTTTAAGCAATCAAAAATACATTACTTCAGCCAACTTTAGGCAAGGTATGATCAGACTCCAAGTGTAATGGTTATTCTTGGTGTTTCACGAATTATAAGTATTTAATACAGGAGACAGTAATTATTTACAAGAAATATGGAATAAAAATGTACCGTAGAATTATATGAATTAAAATTAGTAAAGAGTATGAAGAATTCCAGGATATTTGTTAAAAAAGGGGGTTTTAATGTTTTGGTCAGTACAGCTTCTCCAAATACCTTCTGTTTATATTAGTTTGATGTTGGTGGGAATTGTATACTATTAATCTAATTATGTTATAGTTCAAGATTACTAGCATGTTTCTGAAGTGAAATCCTATACTTACTTTGGCCAGTCACTATCATGTTTTAAGTGGCATTAAATGTCCAGTTGTGCCTTACAGTTGTATGTGATTCTGGCCTGGAAATGAGTCCTATCAGACCTCTATCCATACCACACCTCAATCATTTCCAAAAAAAAAACAATCCATCATGTTATAACATGATGGATGATTTTAAATGGAAAGGGATTGAGGTTTAGTATGGAAAGGGGTATACCCCTATCCATACCACACCTCAATCATTTTCAAAAAAAAAAATTTTGCAAATTTTTTAAAGGCTTAGCAACCTACATCAAGCAGCAACTGAGTACAACTAGAAGAGATAATTGTTTGCTTTAGTTCTTTAGTTACTGTTCTACATTTGAGAAAAATAAGTTTAAGAACTTATTTCAAAATAGCAATAATCTATATACATATATATATAATGTACAATAATTGAAATGTGACTGTATTTTACAAAATACTAGTCTATTAAAACACAGCCAAGACAAGTTACTTTGTACAGACCAAAGGTCAGTTTTATGTTATTTGATACGGTAACATGAGTGCACATGAGCCACATCATTGTAATTTCTGTATTGTTAGCCAGGCATGGCTGAAAAGTCAATATAATAAAAATGATAAATATATATAAACGTATAATGTTATAAGATTTAACCTATTTAGTCTGAACATGTATGTTTTTTGTGTTATAATTAGTGTTCATTCTAGAATGAAAGAGGCAAAATTTATATTTCTTTTCTAAATTTTTATGGTTGTTGTGAGATTGTTCAAATCTACCAAACCCGTACAGAGATTAATTACTGAAAATAACAGGTAAAATATAAAGTTTTTACTTAAGAAACATTTGATAATTATCTGGACATTATAAAGATTTTTGCATGTGAAATTTGAAAATTTTCTGATGCATAAAAGTATTTTCAATATTAGAATGAATATTACTTTGCATGATAGATAGGCAACATACGAAAAGAAAAAAAGGACATGAGAAAAACATTGCTTTACACACCTTAACACTTAATATAAACATTACATATTTTATGTTTGAAAGCATTGTAATGTTTACTAATAATCTGCCAAATTTTGTTAACATTCCCTTACTAATCTAAAAGTTATAGCATTAAAACTAAAACAAGCACAAAATGGTTACGAGGTCGGTCCCAGGAACTGAGCCCGTGATGAAAGAGTTAACAGAATGAAATTGTTTTTTAATGCCAAATTAGTGTTAAAACGATGAATAAGGTTAGGTGATGAAAAAGAAACAGTTAATTTAAGAATTTGACTGTGAAAACTTTTTATGATGTTTGTATGGCTGAATGATCTAAAGATAGTATGGATTCTGTAATCTTTGTTTATAGATTCATGGAACAAAGTAACTCTATGCTAGAACAAAGAAGTGATTCTCTTCACACTTCTACTTCACACTCCCAAGCAAGACTTCTTATATTGGAGCAAGAAAAGGTACAGTATTTTCAAAGAAAAGGTTTATATCTGTAAGTTGACACAGAAAGTTTTGTGCTGAAGTTGAACATGTGTGGTTAACTGATATAAATACCTTTGTAAGTCCTAAAACAAAGCTTTTAATATGTCCTTGTACAGTTGAAACCTTGCAAGCTCAGATAGGAAGTGTATAGGATGTCAAGATGAAACGTATGTAATTGCCAATTTATGTATCTTTTTAAAAATTAATTTAACTTCATAACTTGATCTTAGAACAAGAATATTAAGATGTGTACATTAAAAAGGTAAAACTTTTCAATTTCAAGAGATACCTAAAATGAGGGTTAAGAGCTGTAAAATGTGAAATTATTTAAAACTATAATGATGAAGAAAAGAAAGTAATGAAAGTGTCAAGTCTGGAAACTTTCTTATTTGAAATTGTGTAAATGTGAGGAAATCTTTTTGTGAGTGATTACCATTAGAGCAGTATAATCTTGTTCAGAACATTTGATTTTTATATCTGTGACGTATCTGTTTGGAGAGGATAGTTGTTTTCTGTGATCATTTAATGGCAAATCCAGCAGCAGGAGTTATAAAAATTCAATGTCTTTCAAAATACATACATTGATAATATTAAAACTTACAGTGAAAGTTAACTGTAGAATTAGGATCTCTACCAGAGCACCTGTGGTGATACTTAAAAAATTATTTTTCATACAAATATTGCCATAAAACTTTTATTTCTGGATTTTATCCAAACAATCTGCACTTATATGTTGATAAATTATTTCAGGCAAAGTTAGCTGTAGAATTTGGAGAAGCTGTGTCTAAAATTAATAATCTTGAACTTCAAATCAACCAACAAGAAGCTGAACTACAGCAAAAGCTACAGGTGGCTGACTCTGAAGTTTTGAGGAATAAAGAACAGCTGGAAAAGTTGAAAGATCAGGTTTCAGGTGAAAAGTGAAATATTTTACTCTCATAAAATTAAGGTTGTACAAAAGGCTGTAAATTGAATTATTATTTGTATTTAAAATTTTAAGCTTGATATGCAGGTGTGCACTTGACACCTTTATAATGGTCAATGGCCTGGTAATCAGTTGTTTAATATAGAAATTTAACTCGTCTATGTGTTTGCTACAAAACTTCCTAATGTAGATATAAATTGTCTTTGTGACATGTGTATGACATATATATAGAACTTGATAGAGTAGTCCTGTATTGTCCATGTGACATGTTAGTAAAGAACGTGTATGACATATATATAGAACTTGATAGTGTAGTTCTGTATTGTCCATGTGACATGTTTGTATAGAACGTGTATGACATATATATAAAACTTGATAGTGTAGTCCTTTATTGTCCATGTGACATGATAGTAAAGAACGTGTATGACATATATATAGAACTTGATAGTGTAGTCCTGTATTGTCCATGTGACATGTTTGTAAAGAACGTGTATGACATATATATATATTTAGAACTTGATAGTGTAGTCTTTTATTGTCCATGTGACATGTTTGTATAAAACTTGGTAATGTATTTTTAAAATCCTATATGAAATGTATTTTTCCATATAAGTTGATATTGTAGTTTTATTATTTGTTACATGTATCAGACATTACTATAGTTTCAAATTATCTTTTGTAATGTTATTAAAGAAAACTTGATATGTTAGTTCCATGTCACTTATGTATGTTTATTTGTGAACATGATATTGTTTTTGTAATATATTTATGTTTTGTATTTCACATAGAACGAGAAAGTGAACTTAAAATCCTCCAACAGAGTTTGAGAGAAGCACAAAAGTATAAGAAAGACTTGGAAGAACGCTGTGCTGACTTACAAGAAACTAATCAATCTCTAGAAAAGGTTAAAGATCATTTGTATCAACTTTCAAAGGAATTAGTCTCTAGGACAGGTTCAAGTTCATTGACATCAACATACAAATTAATCAGTCTATAGAAAAGCTTCAAATTTAATTCAGTCAGTGATGTCAGCTTACAATTTACTTACAGATATGTTGTTTGAAATCAGATAGTTTTTGTGTTTCATACACTATAAAAAATTAATGAATATGATATTTTTCTCAATGTAATCTATTTATTTATTTATTTTTTCGTGAACAAGAAATATAAGTGGAGGAACTAAAATATCAAACATGTTAAATAGAATTTGACAGATAAAAAACAAAAGTTAAAAGAAGACCGGAAGAAGGTGGAAGAAGAGATGGAAGAAATGAGAGTTTTACATGAGGTTGGTAAAGTATTGATTTTTACACCTTATACTCTGTTAATTTTTGATTGTAAAACTAACATTTTAAACTTCCTTCAAAAATAATAAAGGACCCATGGACTTCATTCAAAAACAAGTCTGTGTATTAACATAAAGAAAATTTTAAACAGTAGAAAATTCCAATACTTTTAATTATATTGTAAAAACATTTTAATGATTTAAGTGTCAGAGCAAGCTACATACTTAGATAAAAATAATTCAAATCAGTAAGGAATATAGCCAGTTAGGCTAATTAAATATACTGTCCTTACTTGTAAAGATTAGAATATTCAGTTTCAAACATTGGGTACCATCATAGTTAAAGATATATTATTCAGCAGTAATGCCAATAATTGCTCAAGAAGGTTGACCAGTGTTTAATCCATATACTGAGCACACAAAAAAATCTATATAATAAATGAATAAGAGTAAACAATTAAAAGTAATACCATAAAACATATGAAAAACATTCTTACTTATACTCTTAATGAAAGTAACATTGAAGAAAAAATTGACATATACCTCACGTAAAGAACATACATTCAAACATTAGTTGTTAGCTTTAACTGAGATTTGTTGAACAATGCAAAGTTAATTGAGACTAAAAGTAACAGATATGTTGGTGTGGTTAAATGTTATTTTGTTGTTGTAATGGTGTTAACTGAGGTGTTGGTTTGGCTAATTGTTATTTTGTTCTTGTAATGGTGTTAATTGGTGTGTTGTTTTTGTTAAATGTTATTGGTGTTAATTAATGTGTTGGGTTTTTAAATGTTATTGTTCTAATATTCTTAACTAATGTGTTGGTTTTGTTAAATGTTATTTTATTACTGTAATAGTGTAACTGATGTGTTGTTTGGTTAAATGTAATTTTATTGCTGTAATAATGTTAACTGATGTGTTGATTTGGTTAAATGTAATTTTGTTGTAGTAATACTGTTAACTGATGTGTTGTTTGGGTTAAATGTTATTTAATTGTTGTAATAGTGTTAAATGATGTGTTGATTGGGTTGGATGTTACTTTACTGTAAGTTTCAATTAACAATAGCAGTGTTGTTCGTAAGGTGTACTATGTTATGAAATAATTAATAAATTCATCCTTTTTTATGACTGCTCAAAAAGGGCACAGAAAATGTAAGTATTATAAATACATATCAATATTTCTGTTATATTAAAGTAATGTATTCTACAGTTAATTACAGGTTATGTAATACAGCTGATATATGTATGGTATATGTATTACGTCCAGTACTCTGTTCTTTAGATAATTACAGGAATTGAACCATCATGTATAATGATGAGGGCTAAAATATTGTGTGGAGTGAAGGAATTGAACCTTGGTGCGTAATGATACGCACTAAAATATTGTGTGAAGTGAAGGAATTGAACCATGATGTGTAGTGATGAATGATAAAATATTGTGTGGAGTGAAGGAATAGAACCTTGATGTGTAGTGATGAATACTAAAATATTGTGTGAAGTTATTCATCACTACACATCATGGTTCAATTCCTTCACTTCACACAATATTTTAGTATTCTTCACTACACATCAAGGTTCTATTCCTTCACTTCACGCAATATTTTAGGCAATATTTTAGCCCTCATCACTATACATCACGGTTCTATTCATTCTCTGCACACAATATTTTAGCCCTCATCGCTAGACATCATGGTTCAATTCCTTCACTCCACACAATATTTTAGCCCTCATCACTATACATCACGGTTCTATTCATTCTCTGCACACAATATTTTAGCCCTCATCACTACACATTACTTTTGTATTCCTTCACTCCACACAATATTTTAACCCTCATCATTACACATCATGGTTCAATTCCTTCACTCCATGCAATAGTTTAGCTGTCACCACTACACCTCAAGGTTCAATTCCTTCACTCCACCCAATATTTTAGCCCTCATAATTACACATCATGGTTCTATTATTTCACTCCACCCAATATTTTAGTGTGGAGTGAAGGAATTGAACCATGATGTCTAGCGATGAGGGCTAAAATATTGTGTGGAGTGAAGGAATTGAACCTTGATATCTAGTGATGAGGGCTAAACCATTGGTTGGATTGAAGAAACAGAACCTTGATGTGTAGTGATGAGGGCTAAAATATTGTGTAGAGTGAAAGAGTAGAACCTTGAGGTGTAGTGACTAGGGCTAAAATGTCTTGTATTTTGACATGTAGGTAGTTATAAAGTATTGTAGTATATAAAAAAACGGGAAAAATCAGTGCATTTATCAAAACATTTCATAAACTGTATTGTATTTTAGAAAAAATCAAACTGAATAGCATATTTTTATTTCTCATTCATCTTAATTTATTTGTCACATTGGTTATTGGTGTGACAGGGTTTTGTGATCTTTTATTTTTCTTAATATAAAAAGCTAAATGTTCAGTCTCTTCTGATTTTATAATGTTATTTTAAACGTTTCACTCTGTCTGTTGCAATTTTTTGTTATAATTGAATGGTTATGGTTACTTTAACACATAGCTTCTTATTCCAGTGTCTTTGTACTTGGAAAATCATCTGATACCAGCAATATTACAAGGAAAAATATGTTTTAACTTATGCCAATGAGGTCATTGTTGGAATGTTGCTGAAGATACTGTGAATTTTGGTTAATGCTATTTTGTGGTTTTATGTTATACATATTACGAACCATGGTGTCTGTCCAAGTGTTTGTCTGTCTCCTGTTTATGGCAGCCACTTTCAATGCTGCATTTGGAAAGTGTGCACATAGGCAAAGCTCAATATTCACATTTGAAATGACAGGAGAACAGGCATGAATAATGTTGATACAAAATTTTATTTTGTAAGCAGGATATTCTGTACTAAATTGTTAGTAATTAACCACACTATCATAAACATTTCAAAATGTAACTAAGTTAAAGAATAAAAATATAGATTTACCATACATTATTGTTGAGCAGCTATTAGCATGATTGAAATGTTCAACAATTACTTTTTGCAATGGGTGGTGTGAGTAGTTCAGAGATAGATTAAATGGGTAGATTAACTTAATCTTTTCCTGTCACTGGGATTGTGTATTTTATAAGAAATTATTTGATTTGATTGTATAGAAAGAAGTAGAAAGCCTGAGAACCAGAATGCTGAAACAAAAAACTGAGCCAGCTGTTGACAAGGTACATTTATGTCTGAATTTGTATTGTTGTTATTGGGTGAATATACTTGATAAAACAGTACAAATGATACATTGTATAGGTGCTACTTACATTTAAATGTTTTTTTATATTGTTTATGATAACTAGTAATATACTGCATTGTGAAGTTTATTACATGTATTAATTATGAGGTGCATTTAATATACATGTTAGTGAGTTGCTTGAAAAGTGTCTAAGTTGTAAATAGAGAAATTATGAAATAATTAGTAAAATTGAAAGCTTAAAGCAAAATGTTTATATGTTTTCTTATAAGTTTTTAATGGCATGTCATTTGTATGATATGCATAGAATCAGAGAAATTACTTCCCAGTAGAATAGCAATTAATGATACTCAAGTGGCAAGATCAGTTATTTGATACCTTCAAATGTATTGTTTTAATCATACTGCTGTTATACTTGTTGAATTACATGACAAAACTTAATGTGATGTTTCATTGTAGTTGAACCAGCTAGAGGAGGAAATAAACAGGGTTTGGGAACAGAAACATAAAAAAGAGCTTGAAGAAATAGTTGAGAAACACCAACACGATTTGGAATGTATAGAGACAGAGAAGGAAGAATTGAGGCAGAAAGTTCACCAACTTGAGAATAAAGTAAGAGCCAATAGATTCTCGTATTTCAGAGTTTGGAATAAAGATTAGTTTTTGTCTGGCGAAAATGTTTATAAATTGCTGATGACAAATAAACTGTACACTGTTTATTTCATGGCTTGTATAGTAGTAGTTTGATCAAACATTTATTTCATGGCTTGTATAGTAGTAGTTTGATCAAACATTTATTTCAAAACCAGTACTATACAAGCCATGAAGTAAATGTTTGATCAAACTAGTACTATACAAGCCATGAAATAAATGTTTGATCAAACTACTACTATACAAGCCATGAAATAAATGTTTGATCAAACTACTACTATACTAGTTTGATCAAACATTTATTTCATGGCTTGTATAGTAGTAGTTTGATCAAACATTTATTTCAAACAAGAGTAGAATGTTCCAGTACTAGATATTAATAACAACATTAAAGTACATCTGTTGCTGAACAGTAAATGTAAGTGATCCATGCACAGTTTATCATGTGGTAGTACAGTCTAGGTGCCATTTTCTTGGAATGTTAGGTGAATCTACAAATCCTAAAACAGTTTATTTCAAGCTACATTTCAGTTATTCAAAAATCTCAATTGTGAGAACCAAAAAGAGTGGTGCCAACCATGAAATAAATGTTTGATCAAATATGTACCATACAAGCCATGAAATAAATGTTTGATCAAACTACTACTATACAAACCACGAAATAAATGTTTGATCAAACTAGTACCATACAAGCCACGAAATAAATGTTTGATCAAATATGTACCATACAAGCCATGAAATAAATGTTTGATCAAATAGGTACCATACAAGCCATGAAATAAATGTTTGATCAAATAGGTACCATACAAGCCAAAGAGTAGAATGTTTCAGTACTAGAAGGGTGGATCTGATCACCTAGAAGAGTAGAATGGTGCAGTACTAGAAGGGTAGATCCGATCAGTTAACAAGAGTAGAATGGTGCAGTACTACAAGGGCAGATCCGATCATTTGGTTAAATGATCAGATCTACCCTTCTGGTACTGCACCATTCTACACTTGGTAAATGATCAGATCTACCCTTCTAGTACTGGAACATTCTACACTCATTAAATGATCAGACCTACCCTTCTAGTACTGGAACATTCTACACTCAATAAATGATCAGATCTACACTTCTAGCACTGGAACATTCTACTCTTGGTAGATGATCAGATCTACCCTTCTAGCACTGGAACATTCTACTCTTGTTAAATGATCAGATCTACCTTTCTGGTACTGCACCATTCTACACTTGGTAAATGATCAGATCTACCCTTCTAGTACTGGAACATTCTACTCTTGTTAAATGATCAGATCTACCATTCTAATACTGGAACATTCTACTCTTGTTAAATAGATCAGATCTACCCTTCTAGTACTGGAACATTCTGCACTCATTAAATGATCAGATCTACCCTTCTAGTACTGCACCATTCTACACTCATTAAATGATCAGATCTACCCTTCTAGTACTGGAACATTCTGCACTCATTAAATGATCAGATCTACCCTTCTAGTACTGCACCATTCTACACTTGGTAAATGATCAGATCTACCCTTTTAATACTGGAACATTCTACTGTTGTTAAATGATCAGATCTACCCTTCTAATACTGGAACATTCTACTCTTGTTAAATGATCAGATCTACCCTTCTAATACTGGAACATTCTACACTTGTTAAATGATCAGATCTACCCTTCTAATACTGGAACATTCTACTCTTGGTAGATGATCAAATCTACCCTTCTAATACTGGAACATTCTACTCTTATTAAATGATCAGATCTACACTTCTAGCACTGGAACATTCTACTCTTGGTAGATGATCAGATCTACCCTTCCAGTACTGCACCATTCTACACTTGATAAATGATCAGATCTACCCTTCTAGTACTGCACAATTCTACACTTGGTAAATGATCAGATCTACCCTTCTAGCACTGGAACATTCTACACTCATTAAATGATCAGATCTACCCTTCTAGTACTGGAACATTCTACTACTCATTAAATGATCAGATCTACCCTTCTAGTAATGAAACATTCTACTCTTGTTAAATGATCAGATCTACTCTTCTAGTACTGCACCATTCTACACTTGGTAAATGGTCAGATCTACACTTCTAGTATTGGAACATATGACTATTGGTAAATGGTCAGATCTACACTTCTAGTATTGGAACATATGACTATTGGTAAATGGTCAGATCTACACTTCTAGTATTGGAACATATGACTATTGGTAAATGATTAGATCTACACTTCTAGCATTGGAACATATGACTA